TCTCATCATATTCCATTATGAAGCATCCCAATTTTTCTTTTAAGTAATAACTATAAGAAATATAATAAATGACAGAATAAAATGGGTTAAACTACGTATTTCATCGTTACATGGGTCACCTTGTCACAACTTAAATTTGATTTCTATATCTTTTTTGTTCCTATAAGAGAAAAAGTTTTCAAAATAGACACCAGCCTTTGTATGCCATAAAACCATTCTCCCCTTGTTGGTGTGGCTAATAGTTGTTGGTGACATGACATGGTAGTTACACATTTTTTATTAAGATATATATTGGTCTCTATACAATTCGCACAATTTTGATTTAGTCCTTGTGTAGATATTTTTTGTAGTCCTAAGTTGCCCAAACGTTTTCAAAACCTATCAGCATAGTTCTTGCAATGAAAAGGGTATGCAACATCTGGTAGGTACTAATAAAACACAGACCCTTACAAATAAATAAAGAAAATTATTTGGAGCGAAAAGTTATATGGGTTCACCAATTACAGGAGCTGGTCATATGCTACCAAATGTGTGTGAGTGTGCCTATAAGGGAACAATATAAACAGTGATTGGAAATAGAATCATTATTACTAACAACATTTCTCAACTTTTGCAATTTTGTGTATTGTGCCTATGTTGTCTAAAGTCTAAAGGTTGAAGCCAAGTTAAATCTTGTCTATTAAGGAACAAATTGATGGAATACAAGCCTTTTAATGGTGAAGCTTATTAAATTATGATAAAAATAAAATTTGTCTTCTCAGTTCATATCATATACCTGCTTATACAAATTTGTTTAAATTTCTGAAGGTTAGAGCCAAGTTCAATCTTCAGTATCAGGAATCAATTAATGAAACACAAGCCTTTTATAAGTGAAGTTTTCTAAACTTCAATTGTCATAGATCACCCTATGCCTTCTTGGTTCATAATATATACCACTTCTATGCAACACTCATTAGTTAAAATTCTAAAGGTTGAACCGAGTTAAATCTTATGTATCAGAGAATCAATTCATGCAACACAAGTCTTTCAAGATTGAAAGTATATAAAAGGTGATTGAAAGTGACCAACCTATGCCTTCTCGATTAATATATACATCATCAATTGCAGTAAAAATATCAGGGGTGAAAACGTACACACCACAATTTATCAAATTGCTGACCTGCAATTACAGTGATTAGTTTTGTTAAGGTGTAATAGCAGAGCACACATACACATATTATACCAATCAAGATAATAAATTGAATTGTGATTTTTTTTTTCTTAGTAAGAAAATGAAGAGAAACAAACCAAACCGAATACTTACAAATGTCTCAGGTTTCTCAGTATAATGCAGCAACTCATTAGTGGTTGGATCAGCAACCAACTCACCGAATTGGTTAGCAGATTCAGCTGAAACCTACACAAGACATCCACAACCCCAAAAAGAGAATGAAAGTGGTTTTGTAAAGAAACACAGCAATGATCATTATAGATATGTATAATCTGAATGTATTTAGAAAACCCATAGACAGAACAACAATGAAGCCCTTTTTCCACTAGGTTGTAGGTGAAGTTGTTATAATAAAACAATGCCATAATGTCCTACTGTGAATTGTGTGTATAGAAAAAGCATTGATCTCTTAATCCCTAGTCTGTCTCTGCCTCTGATTTTACCACTTTAAGTGCTATTTAAGTATACCCATTTTCTTATGCACCAACCTTGATCACCAACATTGTCCCCATCCCACCATATCTTTTATGGGCATCTGTAAAAAGAAAAAAAGAAATATTTCAGTAGTGACATACATCTGAAGAACTACCACAGTTTAAGAGCGACATACTTACCAAGCATTGCTGGTAGTGGAAAACTGCAGCAAACATCACAGTTTAACAGAAATATATGTGACTGCAATAAAAATGTGGCGACTATGTTAATTAACAATATAACATAAAATGGCAAAAACAGATAAGGGTAGTGTTTCTAACTGGGCTGTCCTCCATGATAATATCTCTGAAGTAGTAAAGGCCACCTGCTGAACCACGCGGTTTATCTTCTTTCAAATATCTAGATTGATATCAGTAATAAGCCATGGTCAGGTGAGGTCCAGAATTTAACAAAGTTAACAAGCATACTTTCTCTTATTAAAGCTGCATATTAATGCACTAGTCACCTTACTGGTAATTTCAGCTCATTTGAGATTGAAGAGACATATAGAGCGAATTCTCGCTCCTCGTAGAATCCAATAAGATATATTTGAGCCAAATTGGGTATCTGTAGAAGACAACACTAATAAGTAAAAACACTTCACACCTTGTAAGTCACACGTCCCCTCTCCTCTCCTTTTCATCAGTTTTTAAGCTGATCTTCAATATTTTCAACAAATGGAAACCATGGACATTTATACACACACAGAAAAGTATGCATGTCAACATTGAACTGAAGTTACTTCTAGTTTTCTTTCCCTCAATTTGATCATATTTGAATTTTAGACTAATGTAGAACACACACATTGAAATGGAATTTCATTGTGGTCTTTCATTCTCAATTTGATCAAATTTTAGTACACACATCCACAGCATAACAACCATAAAGTCTTATTATCTCATTACGAGATTGGCTACATGGATCATACACTGGCCTGCGTGAGCGCACACACATACACACATAAATTGAAGTTCATTCTAGTTTTTTGTTTTTATTTTCCAACTTGATCTAATTTGAATTTTAGACTATAGATTAAAGCATAGCACATACACACATTTGAACTTTAGAGTTTAAACTAATGAAGACCATTTGTAATTACACACACACACAAGTATGCAAGTCAACATTGACATTGAAGTCCTTTTAATTTATTTTCCCCTCAATTTGATGAGAAACAGTGAGAAGGGTAATTGAGGTGAGGCAAAGAAACAAACCCTTTTGCAAGCAGAAATAGGATGGTGAACCATTGGCTGGCCAGCCAAAGGGAAAAGGGGTTTGGGAATATTGAACGAAAGAGGCCGAAATCTGGTCCCTGCAGACACAATCGAACAAAGCCATGTAAGATAGATACTAAGAGAACCCCAAAATCAAAACTGGAAAAAAGACACTAACTTTGATCAGAAAACATGCAAAGATTTCAAATACCTTTGGTTGGCCCACCCACCATGATCACAGCCACCACCTTCTCCGAGTTCTCCATGGCCAAAGCACAGATCTTTACACTCAAAATCCGAGCTTGAGACTGATAAGAACAATGGGGTTGATTGAATTATGGAATTTGAGACACAGGTGAAAGTGTTGGATCCAAGGTTGTGCTGTGTGACTCAAATTTCCACGTTGGACTTTGGACTATTAATGAGTTGGGATCAGATCAACGTAGAATTACGATCATAAATGAACTATGAATGCAATTGAATTGAAGTTTGATTTAGTTATTTAGTTATACATTTTGAGAGATAGACAAAACAAACATGCACGGAAAATTTTAAAATATAAATTAAAAAAAAACTTGTGTTTTGGAAGTTACTTTATTATTATTCTTAAAAATAGGAAATAGCTTATAGAACTACTCAGTAAAGGAATTTTATACTAGTATTATTAAATTATATAATGATAAGTTTACTTCTCCGTCTCAACATGATTATAGTTTCAATTTTAAAAAAAAAAACTAATTGTTGTTCTTAAATTTAAATAAATATTTTTTTAACTATACCAAATAAATTATGTTAATGTTTGTATCTTTGTCATGTAAAAATAATGTAATTATAAATGGAATGGAATTATTTTAAGTAATTAGTATATTTATTATTTGATAGTTGAGATAATTTTTTGACCAGTAACAAAGTTAATACGAATTATACGCTTTCAGACAAGAAAAATAAACAACATTAAAAATGTGTGAAATATTGTGGTACGAAAAAATATTATCTCTTTTTATATTATATTAATGGAAATAATAATCATATTATTAGAAGGAATATGTTTATAATGATCCTTATGTTTATATTTATTAATATTTTTTTTTATTCATAAACATATGTTCTTATTGTAGATTTTATTTTGACAACTAATAAAATTCTAATAGAAACTTATTCATAAACATATGTTTTTATTTTATATATTTATGATACCACTTATTTCTATGTTTTTTCTTATTATTACAACTTGATTTTATATGTGAAAATTTCATTCAATTAAATATAATTATTATATTAAATAATTTTATTTAATTGATTTGTACGGTTTATAGAGTTATTACTAATGGATTTTATCTTACCACACAAGGTTAACCTCTTTTGTATCTTAAGAAAAAAAAAGTTTCTAAACTAGTATTTTTTGTTACTTTCAACATATATCACATTTTACTTTATAAATGAATATAAATGATTATCAAAGTATGAAGATATCTTTTTATTTAAATCCATACTTATTTAAATCCATACATCAATTCATACACTAAAGCAACACAACACTAGGATTTTTGGCATGAAATTTCTTAAATCATAGTAACTCATATCATTACTACAACCATTGGAAATTAACTCGTATAAGCAACTAAAACCAACAAAACTATAAAAAATTAAGATTTCACAGAAACACTGCATGGTGTGAAGCTCAATGATATAAATCATTGCTCAACGCTCTATCACGAAATTGGTTTGTGACTTTGAAATTTAAATCTTAATGAGAGCTTTGTGACAATTGAAAAAATGTCTTATATTCAAGAAGAAAACTTGGTTGGAGAGAAAGCTGTTGGAGAGGAAGTTGCGTTTTTGCTTTGAAAAAAAAAAGACAAAAAAGGAGTTTGATTTTCTATAATAAAACAAGGTTTTACATTTGTTAAATTTGTTAAATGTTATAGTAATTATTTGAAATTTTGATTCTAATATTAATTCTTCAAATAATTTTTTTAAAAATTATAATTAATAATAAGAGTGTAATTCTTTTAAATAAAGTGTAGTAATATAAATGTTGTAATTTAATTATGATTCAATTTCCGTGATTTTTTATTGGTTAAATGATACAANTTGGTCTCTATACAATTCGCACAATTTTGATTTAGTCCTTGTGTAGATATTTTTTGTAGTCCTAAGTTGCCCAAACGTTTTCAAAACCTATCAGCATAGTTCTTGCAATGAAAAGGGTATGCAACATCTGGTAGGTACTAATAAAACACAGACCCTTACAAATAAATAAAGAAAATTATTTGGAGCGAAAAGTTATATGGGTTCACCAATTACAGGAGCTGGTCATATGCTACCAAATGTGTGTGAGTGTGCCTATAAGGGAACAATATAAACAGTGATTGGAAATAGAATCATTATTACTAACAACATTTCTCAACTTTTGCAATTTTGTGTATTGTGCCTATGTTGTCTAAAGTCTAAAGGTTGAAGCCAAGTTAAATCTTGTCTATTAAGGAACAAATTGATGGAATACAAGCCTTTTAATGGTGAAGCTTATTAAATTATGATAAAAATAAAATTTGTCTTCTCAGTTCATATCATATACCTGCTTATACAAATTTGTTTAAATTTCTGAAGGTTAGAGCCAAGTTCAATCTTCAGTATCAGGAATCAATTAATGAAACACAAGCCTTTTATAAGTGAAGTTTTCTAAACTTCAATTGTCATAGATCACCCTATGCCTTCTTGGTTCATAATATATACCACTTCTATGCAACACTCATTAGTTAAAATTCTAAAGGTTGAACCGAGTTAAATCTTATGTATCAGAGAATCAATTCATGCAACACAAGTCTTTCAAGATTGAAAGTATATAAAAGGTGATTGAAAGTGACCAACCTATGCCTTCTCGATTAATATATACATCATCAATTGCAGTAAAAATATCAGGGGTGAAAACGTACACACCACAATTTATCAAATTGCTGACCTGCAATTACAGTGATTAGTTTTGTTAAGGTGTAATAGCAGAGCACACATACACATATTATACCAATCAAGATAATAAATTGAATTGTGATTTTTTTTTTCTTAGTAAGAAAATGAAGAGAAACAAACCAAACCGAATACTTACAAATGTCTCAGGTTTCTCAGTATAATGCAGCAACTCATTAGTGGTTGGATCAGCAACCAACTCACCGAATTGGTTAGCAGATTCAGCTGAAACCTACACAAGACATCCACAACCCCAAAAAGAGAATGAAAGTGGTTTTGTAAAGAAACACAGCAATGATCATTATAGATATGTATAATCTGAATGTATTTAGAAAACCCATAGACAGAACAACAATGAAGCCCTTTTTCCACTAGGTTGTAGGTGAAGTTGTTATAATAAAACAATGCCATAATGTCCTACTGTGAATTGTGTGTATAGAAAAAGCATTGATCTCTTAATCCCTAGTCTGTCTCTGCCTCTGATTTTACCACTTTAAGTGCTATTTAAGTATACCCATTTTCTTATGCACCAACCTTGATCACCAACATTGTCCCCATCCCACCATATCTTTTATGGGCATCTGTAAAAAGAAAAAAAGAAATATTTCAGTAGTGACATACATCTGAAGAACTACCACAGTTTAAGAGCGACATACTTACCAAGCATTGCTGGTAGTGGAAAACTGCAGCAAACATCACAGTTTAACAGAAATATATGTGACTGCAATAAAAATGTGGCGACTATGTTAATTAACAATATAACATAAAATGGCAAAAACAGATAAGGGTAGTGTTTCTAACTGGGCTGTCCTCCATGATAATATCTCTGAAGTAGTAAAGGCCACCTGCTGAACCACGCGGTTTATCTTCTTTCAAATATCTAGATTGATATCAGTAATAAGCCATGGTCAGGTAAGGTCCAGAATTTAACAAAGTTAACAAGCATACTTTCTCTTATTAAAGCTGCATATTAATGCACTAGTCACCTTACTGGTAATTTCAGCTCATTTGAGATTGAAGAGACATATAGAGCGAATTCTCGCTCCTCGTAGAATCCAATAAGATATATTTGAGCCAAATTGGGTATCTGTAGAAGACAACACTAATAAGTAAAAACACTTCACACCTTGTAAGTCACACGTCCCCTCTCCTCTCCTTTTCATCAGTTTTTAAGCTGATCTTCAATATTTTCAACAAATGGAAACCATGGACATTTATACACACACAGAAAAGTATGCATGTCAACATTGAACTGAAGTTACTTCTAGTTTTCTTTCCCTCAATTTGATCATATTTGAATTTTAGACTAATGTAGAACACACACATTGAAATGGAATTTCATTGTGGTCTTTCATTCTCAATTTGATCAAATTTTAGTACACACATCCACAGCATAACAACCATAAAGTCTTATTATCTCATTACGAGATTGGCTACATGGATCATACACTGGCCTGCGTGAGCGCACACACATACACACATAAATTGAAGTTCATTCTAGTTTTTTGTTTTTATTTTCCAACTTGATCTAATTTGAATTTTAGACTATAGATTAAAGCATAGCACATACACACATTTGAACTTTAGAGTTTAAACTAATGAAGACCATTTGTAATTACACACACACACAAGTATGCAAGTCAACATTGACATTGAAGTCCTTTTAATTTATTTTCCCCTCAATTTGATGAGAAACAGTGAGAAGGGTAATTGAGGTGAGGCAAAGAAACAAACCCTTTTGCAAGCAGAAATAGGATGGTGAACCATTGGCTGGCCAGCCAAAGGGAAAAGGGGTTTGGGAATATTGAACGAAAGAGGCCGAAATCTGGTCCCTGCAGACACAATCGAACAAAGCCATGTAAGATAGATACTAAGAGAACCCCAAAATCAAAACTGGAAAAAAGACACTAACTTTGATCAGAAAACATGCAAAGATTTCAAATACCTTTGGTTGGCCCACCCACCATGATCACAGCCACCACCTTCTCCGAGTTCTCCATGGCCAAAGCACAGATCTTTACACTCAAAATCCGAGCTTGAGACTGATAAGAACAATGGGGTTGATTGAATTATGGAATTTGAGACACAGGTGAAAGTGTTGGATCCAAGGTTGTGCTGTGTGACTCAAATTTCCACGTTGGACTTTGGACTATTAATGAGTTGGGATCAGATCAACGTAGAATTACGATCATAAATGAACTATGAATGCAATTGAATTGAAGTTTGATTTAGTTATTTAGTTATACATTTTGAGAGATAGACAAAACAAACATGCACGGAAAATTTTAAAATATAAATTAAAAAAAAACTTGTGTTTTGGAAGTTACTTTATTATTATTCTTAAAAATAGGAAATAGCTTATAGAACTACTCAGTAAAGGAATTTTATACTAGTATTATTAAATTATATAATGATAAGTTTACTTCTCCGTCTCAACATGATTATAGTTTCAATTTTAAAAAAAAAAACTAATTGTTGTTCTTAAATTTAAATAAATATTTTTTTAACTATACCAAATAAATTATGTTAATGTTTGTATCTTTGTCATGTAAAAATAATGTAATTATAAATGGAATGGAATTATTTTAAGTAATTAGTATATTTATTATTTGATAGTTGAGATAATTTTTTGACCAGTAACAAAGTTAATACGAATTATACGCTTTCAGACAAGAAAAATAAACAACATTAAAAATGTGTGAAATATTGTGGTACGAAAAAATATTATCTCTTTTTATATTATATTAATGGAAATAATAATCATATTATTAGAAGGAATATGTTTATAATGATCCTTATGTTTATATTTATTAATATTTTTTTTTATTCATAAACATATGTTCTTATTGTAGATTTTATTTTGACAACTAATAAAATTCTAATAGAAACTTATTCATAAACATATGTTTTTATTTTATATATTTATGATACCACTTATTTCTATGTTTTTTCTTATTATTACAACTTGATTTTATATGTGAAAATTTCATTCAATTAAATATAATTATTATATTAAATAATTTTATTTAATTGATTTGTACGGTTTATAGAGTTATTACTAATGGATTTTATCTTACCACACAAGGTTAACCTCTTTTGTATCTTAAGAAAAAAAAAGTTTCTAAACTAGTATTTTTTGTTACTTTCAACATATATCACATTTTACTTTATAAATGAATATAAATGATTATCAAAGTATGAAGATATCTTTTTATTTAAATCCATACTTATTTAAATCCATACATCAATTCATACACTAAAGCAACACAACACTAGGATTTTTGGCATGAAATTTCTTAAATCATAGTAACTCATATCATTACTACAACCATTGGAAATTAACTCGTATAAGCAACTAAAACCAACAAAACTATAAAAAATTAAGATTTCACAGAAACACTGCATGGTGTGAAGCTCAATGATATAAATCATTGCTCAACGCTCTATCACGAAATTGGTTTGTGACTTTGAAATTTAAATCTTAATGAGAGCTTTGTGACAATTGAAAAAATGTCTTATATTCAAGAAGAAAACTTGGTTGGAGAGAAAGCTGTTGGAGAGGAAGTTGCGTTTTTGCTTTGAAAAAAAAAAGACAAAAAAGGAGTTTGATTTTCTATAATAAAACAAGGTTTTACATTTGTTAAATTTGTTAAATGTTATAGTAATTATTTGAAATTTTGATTCTAATATTAATTCTTCAAATAATTTTTTTAAAAATTATAATTAATAATAAGAGTGTAATTCTTTTAAATAAAGTGTAGTAATATAAATGTTGTAATTTAATTATGATTCAATTTCCGTGATTTTTTATTGGTTAAATGATACAATCTAAAAAAAAGTTGTCTAATAATAAATTATTATAAAAAACAACAATAATGTGAAAGTGAAGAAGTGAAGAGGTCTGTCTCCAAACTTATAATATATAACATTGGTTTGTATTAGAACCGTATGATATCTAAATACAATATTAATTGCTATAACAATAACGTAATGTCTACCTATAAGGTTGATTATAATATGAATATACTTATTAATTAATTGCAAAAATGCGATTAAGTTGCTTTTAATGATGTTTATGCTATAACAAATGCAATATAATATTGCTATTTTTATTTTTATAAGAAGAAAATAGAAGAAGTAAACGCATATGTGTAATGAAAATATGCCTTTCTTCATTAAGAAAAAAAAAAGTAACATTATACTTTGTGTTTCTAATATTTTATTTTTCTAGATTTTGAGTTTTTTTTTCGAGTATTCTTTTTTTAGTTTTTTTTTTAAGTTTTTGCAGGTTTTTTTAGAGTATTTTTCTACATTAATAATCTCTTCATTATGACACCTCTTGTCTCTATATTAGAATTGAATTTCAAAAGAAAACCTCAATGTATACTTTCATTAAGAAATAAAGGCATTTCATTGTCATCAAGACATTTAGTAAGAGAAATGAGAAAAATGTTTTACTTTAAGTTTGTAAGCTAAATGAAACTATTTATAAATATGAATATGATTATTATTATATTGAGGTAAAGTCCACGATATAGTGAAAGTTGTCTAAGATAAAAACACATGTGACTCTACTTGGAAGTTAGAGGAGGACATGGGGAAGTCATATTCACATCTATTCTTTAGTAAGTTTAATTATGGAAGACAAAATTTTTTGTTGTTAAGAAAAATGTAAAATTTTGTTTTATTTTATAAAATAAAACTCCTTTTTGTTTTTTTTAAATCATTGAAAACTTTTAGCCAAAGAAAAAATGTTGCTCTCTCTCAAACAATTTCCTGTTTAAAATTCTTCATCTCCTTCCCTTGTGAAGTCACTCAAGTGCCCCCCCCCCCCCCCCCCCC